AAAGCCTGATTGGTTGCTCAAGGATAATCTCAAATCGAGGGGATTGACTTTGATGAGATATTTGCTTCGGTAGCTCGCTTGGAATCCATCAGACTCCTCTTTGGAATTGCCTGCAAGCTCAGAATCAAGTTGTTTCAGATGGATGTAAAAAGTGCCTTCCTGAATGGTGTGCTGCAGGAATAGGTGTATGTTTCACAACCTAAAGGGTTTGAAGATCCCCAGTTTCCTGATCATGTGTACAAGCTTAAGAGAGCTCTATATGGCCTGAAACAAGCTCCAAGGGCCTGGTACGAACAGTTAACTGAATTCTTAGTCAAAGCTCAGTATATTCGGGGAAGTGTTGACAAAACCTTATTCATCAAGAATGAAAGAGTCGATCTGTTAGTTGTGCAAATCTATGTTGATGACATAATTTTCGGTGGCATACATCAAAAATTGGTGGATAGATTTGTTGCAACCATGACAAGGGAGTTTCAGATGAGTATGGTGGGAGAACTGAACTACTTCCTTGGCTTGCAAGTGAAACAGTCGAGTGATGGGATCTTTGTGTCTCAAAGCACTTATGCTCGCAACCTTGTTAAAAGGTTTGAGATGGAGACCTGCAAAGTGTCGAAAACGCCAATGAGCACTACAAGCAAGCTCTGCAAAGATGAGGAAAGACAAAAAGTGAGTGAAAAATTGTATCGAGCCATGATTGGAAGTCTGCTGTATCTGACAGCTAGTCGTCCTGACTTGTGCTTAAGTGTTGGACTATGTGCTCGATATCAGGCCAATCCAAGACAGTCACACCTCACTGCGGTCAAACGTATTATCAAATACGTGAGAGGTACACTGGACTATGTAATTTTTTATTCTACTGAGACTAACACCAATCTTGTAGGTTATTGTGATGCGGACTGGGCAGGATGTTTGGACGATCGCAAAAGCACATCGGGTGGTTGCTTCTTTCTTGGGAACAACATGATCTCATGGCACAGTAAAAGCAGAATTGTGTGTCACTCTCCACAGCGGAGGCTGAGTACATAGCACTTGGGAGTTGCTGCACACAACTCTTGTGGATGAGACAAATGCTGGCAGATTATGGTATCCACAATGATCCATTTCTTGTCCATTGCGGTAATAAAAGTGCCATTGATCTCACAAAAAATCCAGTTCAGCATTCTCGTACCAATCATGTAGACATTAGACACCATTTTGTTAGGGACTTAGTTGAGGAAAAACTTGTCGTGATCAAACATGTTGCATCTGAGCACCAACTAGCTGACATTTTTACCAAACCTCTTGATCTCAATACTTTCTTGTATCTGAGAAAGGCGTTGGGAGTTTGTGAACTTTGATTGTGTGTAGGTGTGTTGAGGGGTGGTGGTTGCTGGTTCTGGAGTTCTATGTCCCCTCTAAAACCTCGTGTGTGCAAGTCTGTATCAGGGAAAATCATTGGTGCAAGTCAGTTCCTGGTGTATGGTGACACTATTCCTAGATGAATGTCACTCGGACTGGATTGGGAAGTCACACCATTTCATATCTGGATCTGATCACTGACACGATGGGATTAAGGAAGAGTTGAGACAAGCATCTAAGCAAAGTGAGATCAAAATCCCACCGGCCATAGTATGTGAGTTCATGGTGTTGTGTGAATGCTCCTCAGATGAGGGTAGGCAGCACAAATTTTTGGCAATGGGAAATGCAGAGATGTAAAGTGCTTCATACCGAGTACAATCAAGACAAACGAAACAAACAAAACTAAAAAAACCAAGTTCTTCTTATGAATGTGTGAATGCTCCTCAGCTGAGAGTATGCAGCACAATGTCTTGGCGGTACATGGGGGGCATGCACGTCTCTGCATCGAACTCGGTGTGATGTCCTTATCGTCTGTAGAAGAAGTGGACACTTAGATGCAAGTCTCTTCGTTCTTCTTTGGACAATGGTGTGTGGTCATCACGTCACACTGACAGCACTAGTGAAAATCTCTGTTGCAGATCAACTGTGTGAAAGCATCTTGGCTAAGGGTTGGCTGCATTGTTGGGCACTCACGTTGCATTTTCTTGAAATCTTTTTCACTGGGGATAGTATGTCAATCTTACTCACCGCCCTCGCTGCACACCTCAAGAGGTATTCATGTCTTGTAAATATTTTTTGGTGCTCATATGTTCAAGTTGCAGATAATGCTCATGGGATCCTGGCTTAAGTCCCTCTAGGTCCGTCTATGTCTCTATACATGTTTGTGTTATACCGAGTCTGTTCTGTGTTACTCTGTATGTGTTTTCATGAAATGTCGTAATGGGCTGTTGGGCCTAAGTTGGTTTTGAGATCTAACAATCCAGCCCGGTGTCCCTCTTGTTTCTAGTTTTTCCCGCTTTGCTATATATGCAGGGTGACGTTTTGTTTGCCAGCAAATCCTACCTGTGTGCGACGCAGACCCTCTCCAAGTCGAATCCTCCGCTGTCGTCTTCAACATGCCTTGCCACACCAGACTTCAGGCTACCAAATTCATGGCTTCCGCTATCGCAGCTTCCAGGCGTGAACCTGCTGACGATGAAACTCTGGCCTCTGCTCTCCGCCGTCGCATGCAACAAAAGGAGTCCAACCATCGTTCCGGCAAGGCTCTTGTGGTTATCTCAGACGAAGACGACTCCAGTGACTCCTCCGATCCACCTGCTCATTTCAAATATCCTGCGGATCTATTTTCAAATCCGTTCGGTCAATCCAGCGATGAGGAGATATTCGATGACTTTGTTGATGATAGGGAAGGCCCACCTCATCAGTACCAAGACCAGGAGACTCGGTATCGTGCCAATCGTGCAGCTGTTACTGCGCGTGACCGACTTCACCCTGAACTCGCTCGTCCCCTTCGTCCGAGGCGTGACAACTTTGCCTCTGATGCTGCTCGCGACAGGTACGACTCTCTTCGCGTTCGGGCTTTTCATGATCAGAAATTTTTGCCTTTGGATGATTACAAGCTGGTGAAGGTTAGGAAGATTCTAGACAAAGCTGGTCTGATATATTTTGTGCTCGATGTGGATCCGTACTGCCCTAATGTTGTGTACAAATTTTATGCCAATATTCCTGATCTTGAATATCGAAATGGCATCAACCTGGTCTTCCTCCGTGGATTAATGTTCGAGTTCACTCCGGATGTTATCAATCGTATGTTCCTCATGGATGAGTCTTTGCCCTCTGTTGAATGGGATAAGATCACATCGATGAAGCTGTTCATATTGTCTCTGGTGGCCGGAAACATCGTTGGGAAGGCTTTGCATCTCGGCACCTGAAGCCCAATTATGGCGTTCTCTACAAACTCTGCTGTGGGAACTGGATACCGACCTCAATCAAAACGACCATGGTGAAAGACAGGGTCAAGTTTGTTGCTTCTCTTGTCATGGGCCATCACTTCAATCTTGGGCAGCTTGTCTATGATCAGATCTTGGCCATTGCTCGTACCCCTGACATGGTGAACAACAAGCTGATGTTTCTGAACCTCATTTATCAGTTGCTGAAGTTTCAACATACCATTCCGGGTCATCGTGGTGATCGCGCACTTCAGGGCTTTCCCTTGAAGATCACTCTTGATCCGAAGGCGAGCAAAGGGTCTGGCGATGATGAACCGACTCCTCTTCCATCTCTGGAAGCTGACCTGGATCAACTGGCACGCTGGCTCAAAAGGATTCAACTCCGCCTCAAAGGTCAGTGTTCTATTCTGTTGATCTTTGTTTGACACAATTTTTTGTTCTAAATATGTACTCAAGCAGGGGGAAAATATGACGCTAAGGATGAGATGACTGAACCAGCAGCTGATTCAGGACTTGAGGGGGAGCATCAGGATGATGGTGACATGGACCATGATGAATGAAAGCTGATAGTGATAACTAGATTTCTTTTGTGCTTTTCACTTTAGTGTGTTCAGTCTAGTTCCTTTCTAAATCCTCCCAAACAATGGATTGTGTGTTATGTTTCTTTTTTGTGTGTCTCCATGATAACACTGAACATCTATGCAATGCATTCGGAAGTTGGCTTAAAATTCATATGGATCTGGATGTTGCGTGGTATTGTTTTGGTCGTTTTTTAAGTGTTTGTTTCAGGATGCTTGAGTTGACATATTCAGACAAAAAGGAGGAGAATGTAAGCTCCATAGTTCTGGAGATTGGACTAGAAGGAGTTTTGGCGCGGAAAGCTGCAAATCGACGTAGACTTGGAAGGATAGTGAAGCTGAGCTGGCGAGAGCTGATTGGTACAAGGCGAATGATTACTTGCACATCAAGGAGAATATTTAAAGGAGATATTGGGAAGATCTTGGAGATCCCAACTAAGGAAAGTAGATATACACGGCTTAGCAAGAGATGTGGTATATATGCGTAGCTACCTCTCAGATGGAGGGTTAGCCGTTTTGAGAGAAATTGTATCATCACAAGAAACTGAGCGAAAAGCGAGTTTGGGGTTCTGGTGAGTGATTAGATTTAGGGTTACACAACTGTCGTTGTGTTGGGTAGTTAGGAATTGATCAGTGTCATTTTGCTGAGAGCAAAGTTGTATAATTCTGATTAGATAAGTCTGTAGAGATTATCTAAATGATTTCTAATAAAGAGCAAAATTCTTGCATTCGGTTGTTATTGCTTGCATATCCATTCTACTGATTTTACACAAAATTCTTCGAAAATTAACCTATATAAAAGAAAATATATCATGTTATATTTTCCATTATTGTAGCCCTGTGATTCTTAGAGCAGCTTTTCATCTCTCACGTAAGAATTCGATTCCTAGACAAGCAGTGATCGGTAACACTAATTAGAAGTTCTATCACTAGACGATCAACGATCTTCTCAATGTTTAGACACATATTTACATGTTTATGATCATATCTTAATTACTTACAGAATTTGATTCACTCCACAAAGGTACTTTTATAATTTCGTATGGCTATATATTAAAACCATTGCATGAACATATCAGCTGTGTATACAATACAATAAGCTGGGCCAGTTTTATCTAACCAAAGTAACATACACTTTTTTCGTAAAAAAGGTATATATATATGATGATAGATGAAATTAATATATAATTTTCTCGGCAACAATCTCTAAGCAGAGCATTTGTTCAAGACAACAGATTCGATAGGAATCTTATCAACCGGAAAAGCACAGTCCACCGGAGCTCCTTTCTCCGGCAACAAACTACACGGCTTTGGCGTCACCTTGCTCGAAACTCCGGAGATATCCGTACAGTTCCAAAGTAACTTCTTAGGCTCAGCAGCCAAAGCAATGTTTATATTAGACATACATATCTTGGTGAAAGGATCGTTCTTGAGCCCATCAAGCCTAGCGGGCTGCGTAACGTTATCAGCGGTCATGTCACGGTAGTTAATGTTCGTGATCTCGGGCATAGCCTTGGGATCATAACCCGAGACAGGGTGTTGGTTATAAGCACCACTCATCCAAAAAACGTATTTCATCGTCTTCATTGTAAACCTCCGAGCAAAGATGTCCTTAACGTAACCTCCACGTCCAACCGCGGTTTTGATTCTGATCGCGGATTGTGTCTGAAGCAACGTGATGTCTTCGATTCTAACGTCTTTGATCCCACCGGACATCTCGCTTCCGAGTGCTATTCCGGCACTGTCGGGAGAGATGCATGTGAGCCGTCGGATCGAGAGTTGCTGAGTTGGCATTGCGACTTTGATACCGAACTGATCCCAACCGCTCTTGACGGCGATGCAGTCGTCGCCGGAGACTACGTAACAGTCCTCTATCAATGTATTGGTGCATGAATCTGATCAAGAAGGATAAATGAAAGTGTCAAAACGATACCACGTCATATACAAAAGCCATGTAAAATATAGGGTTTTGTGCAAAAAATAACCTCCAAATAACATTGTTTTACCAAATTACTTTCAACTCCAAAAAAAAAATGTAAACCCACAAAGTCAAATTTAAACCGCAACATAACTCTATTGTTTCTTTTAAAAAAAACCTTTTACAGTCTCATAGATTATAATTATTGAATTCTAAGAGTGGATATAGATTCTCGCGCAAAAGTAAATTTGCAAAAAAAAAAAAAAAATTCAGTTGAGAGTGTTTTTTTTTTTTCCGGAAAACCCTAAAATATATGACAATGACGACGATTATTTGTTTCATTGTTTGCGTTTACGTTTGCATAGATATGTTATCATGAATGATACTATGGATCGTCGAGAGAAAAAAAAAATGATACAATGGAAACACAGACGTAAATGTGTAAATAAACAATGAGATTTGTTAGATATAGTTATAGCTAACATTTCCACATCGACGTGTTGATATGAACGTACCAGGGTTGATTCCATCGGTATTAGGAGAATCGATAGGAGCAAGAATGGTAACGCCTTTAACGATGACGTTGCTGCAATACACGGGATGAATATTCCATGCAGGCGAATCGATGATCGTGATATTCGAGATCTGAACGTTTTGAGAGAACATGATTTCGATTGTGTAAGGTCTCGTGATCGACTTAAATCCACCACTCCGATACTTCACCCACCAGTATTTCCCTTGCCCGTTGATCGTTCCATTGTTACCTAATTAACCAAACAAATTTGATCAATTTCTTGTCTTTTAATCTAATAGTCAATGAATTGTTTACATACAATTGAAACTGAATCTAATTAGAAACTCTCAGTATATGGTCAAATCGTTCAGGATTTATTAAATAGTTTTGATACCTCATTATGATATATTTTTAATTTGTTATCCTTACCGGTGATAACAACATCAGTTAGGTTTGTGCCAGAGATCAAACTAGCAAACGTTGGTCCTGCTGCATCTCTTCCTTGTCCATACGATGGCAAAGGTGCAACCACTGGATATTCAGATTCATCCTACAAGAACAGTCATATAAATGAGTAATTTATTACACACAATATTTATGTAAATTAAAATCTTATTTTTTCTAGAATGGAAAATCATATTCATACCTGAGAAGCAAGAATAGTTGCACCTTTTTGAATAAATAAGGTAAAATGACTTGTGAGGTTAAAACTTCCGGTAAGCCATTTTCCCGGTGGAACAATGAGTTGGACTCCACCGTCAGCCGCCTTAGGGGCAAGCTTGGTTATGGCTTCCTTAAATGCTTTCGTGTTTGATGTTTTTCCATCACCCACAGCTCCAAATTCTGTTAAAACTGCGGTATGTTTTCGACAATTTAACGCCGTATATTGAATTTTCTCATGTCCCTTGCTGCTTAAATCCCGAGATTCCATCATTTGAAAACTACTTATTGCCAAAACTACTAATATACAAAAACTTGTCCGAACCATCTGTTGGAAAAGAAAAAACAAAATCATATTTTAGATTCTTCTCAAATTAACCTCACTACAATATAAGTTAGCGTTTCATTGTTCAAAACATCATTACCTTTAGAGTTGAAGGTTTAAGAGAAAACTCCATTTGATTCGACTTGTTATTTTGTATTTGTGATTGGTTTTTCATTTGACTTAAAACAGAGTAATTTATAGAAGAACAAAAGATTTGTTAGAGGAAAACATGCTTAAAACTTGATCTCTAATTCTAGACCTTGAATTGAATTACTAAAATAAGCAGAGCTAAAAAAGGTGCCTAGATAATTTAGATAAAGACCGACATTTCCCGTTTTAATAGAAAATAGGTCAACTTTTGAAATCTTAGATCTTATTTTAGGTACATGACTAGCTTCATGATCAGCATCTATTTCATGATTTTCATTATTGTCCTTAGTAACTTCATGTTCACAGCTTCAACTTCTGCTGACTGTTGTATCCTTAGACCGTGACTGTTTGTTTTAATCTCTAATCCGTAATCTGCCTCACAAAGGATCTTCGTTTTCTCGAGCTTTTTTCCACATCTTTGAGATCCATGTTGCGAACTTATTGAATATGCCGTGAAACTCCGAAGTGATCATAAGTTTCGATTTATTAAGAAAAACACATGTAGTAATTAGTAAACAAATAAAGAAACTACAAATTGCACAAAAAGGAAGATAAAATACACATATTAACATGGTTCGTTAAACGGAAGTAACGTGATCCTCAAGCAGGATATTAACAAGATATAAAGGAATATAGAAATAAGATACAAAAAGGTAAATATTCCAAAAATAAATAAATAAAACTAATCAAAGATGCCATCATCTCCTTGGCTTGTCAATTTCAAAATCAAAACCACATATATATAGTAAATAGCAACGAGTTTATCCTCACTTTTTAAGACTATAATTTACCTTGAAACCTCTTTTAGGGTTTAAGAACAATATGGGTTTATCAACAGTATACAAATCCCGGTTTTGGAGTCGGATCGGTATCCCACGGTTCTGGAACTGGACCCGTATTCAACGTTTCCGATCGATTCCGCCGCCGGCAGATCAGTTAGCCGCCGCCGTCTCCTTGGACAACGATGCAGCCTTGTCTTCGACGTTGAAGAAATCCCGGTTTTCAGATCGTGTATGTATTAAATCGATCTTGTCTCAACCCGACGGCGGAGCTGGACTTGCCGGTGAGAAGGTCCGAATCAGCGGGTGGGTTAAAACGGGAAGGGAACAAGGAAAAGGGTCTTTTGCTTTTCTTGAAGTGAACGATGGATCTTGCGCAGAGAATCTTCAGGTCATGGTGGATGCTTCTGTGTCAGATCTCTCCAAGTTGGTTGCTACGGGGACTTGTGTGACCGTTTATGGGTGTTTGAAGATTCCTCCGCAAGGTAAAGGCACGAAGAAGCAGAAGATTGAGCTTAGAGCCGAGAAAGTGACTGATGTTGGAACGGTGGATCCGTCCACGTACCCGATTCCTAAGACGAAGCTGTCTCTAGAGTATCTGAGAGACTATCCTCATCTTCGTGCAAGAACTACCTCGGTAAAAAGTTCCTATCTTGAAACAAGGGTTTTCACTGTTCTTGAGTTTGATTCTGTTTTGTTTTGATTGAAACAGGGTTTTAACTGTTTTTGAGTTTGATCCTGTTTTGATTGAAACAAGGGTTTTAACTGTTCTTGAGTTTGATTCAGTTCTTGAAATTCTTTGTAGTTTTCGTCTTCTTGCTTTTGCAGTTCTTGCGTATGCTAAATTGCTGTATATGTTTTTGCATATGATTACAGATCGCTGCAATTGCAAGAATCCGAAATGCGCTTGCTATGATGATCCACAGTTTCTTGCAAGAAGAAGGGTTTATCTACGTTAACACTCCCATCATCACAACAAATGACTGCGAAGGTGGTGGTGAAATGTTCAGAGTGATCACAACCTTGATGAAACAATTTGACAAGTTGGAGAAGGAATTCGTTATGAGCATTGAAGCCGCTAAGATCATTGTCAAGGAGAAAAGTGAAGCTTTAGCGAAGCTCAAAGCAGCCAAAGCAAGCAAGGAAGAGATCACTGCTTCCGTTGCTGAACTCACTGAAGCAAAGGAGGCTTTAGCTAAGCTTGAAGAGAGGTTAAAGCTTAAAAAGGATGAAAAAACTGATTCCCTAGAATTCTTTAGTCGTCAAACTTTCCTGACAGTTTCTGGTCAGTTACATGCGGAAGCCTATGCTTGCAGTATGGGCCGTGTGTATACATTAAGCCCGGCTTTCAGGGCAGAGAACTCTCACACCTCAAGGCATCTTTCTGAGTTCTGGATGGTTGAGCCTGAATTAGCTTTTGCTGATATAGAGGTAATTAATTAACATTTGGTTTTACTCTTTGTCGCAATATAGTTGTTTTTATCTTAAAGAACACGGCTTTAAACTATTGTGTAGGAGGCTATGAACTGCGCAGAGGCATTACTGAAATTCATTTTGAAAGGGCTGCTTGAAAAATGTTACGATGACATGAACTTATGGCTAAAGATTTCGACAAAGGCTGCATTGACAGGATAAAACTGGCTGCCTCGACTCCATTTGGTCGTGTAACATACACGGAAGCAATAAAGCTACTTGAGGAAGCTGTGGCTCAAGGAAAGACATTTGAGAACCAAGTGAAGTGGGGAATCGACTTAGCATCTGAGCATGAAAGGTCTTTTCTTCTATAACCCTTAAAACTAGTTCTCAACTTAAACCCTTGCAAGAAAAGGGTTACTACTTATGTTGTGTCCTAACATGCAAACACTTGCCAGAAAAGGGTTACTGATTATGTTGTCTCCTATTCTGCACTCACAGATACTTGACAGAGGTTGTGTTTCAAAAGCTCCTTTTTGTCTATAACTACCCGAAAGATATCAAAGCTTTCTACATGAGAGTTAACGATGATGGAAAGACAGTTGCTGCCTTTGATCTCCTCGTTCCAAAGGTAATCATCTTTACATGATACCAAGTTGAAGTTGAATCTATTTTTCTCCTTTTTTGTGTGTCAAAGAATACACATGAATATCATCTTTTGTTATATCTATTAGGTTGGAGAACTCATTGGTGGAGGCCAAAGGGAAGAACGGCTGGACAACCTCATAGAAAGGTTTGTGAAAGTGATTTTGGGCTTCTTCATTTTTGTTCTTATCTCTTATGAAGCAAAATCTTGCTTTTTTTTTACTATTCTATAGGATGGAGGAGATGGGACTATCAATTGAGCAATACCAGTGGTACATTGACTTCAGACGTCATGGAACAGCGAAGCATTCTGGATTTGGAATGGGCTTCGAGCGTATGGTTCTCTTCGCTACAGGAGTCGACAACATTAGAGACGTTATTCCTTTCCCTCGCTATTCTGGAAGAGCTGATCTCTGATGGATCTTTGACTTTGTCCATATTAGATACACATTTCTCATAACATTCACTAGAGTATCCTCTTTAGCTAGGGTCTTGACTTTATTTTTTCATCACTTGACTTCAGAGATTTAGGCTTTATCATCATGATCATATTCTATTTCATCATTTTCGTGAGCAACTTCATGTTCACGGCTACATCTTCTGTTTTTATCGGTAAATCTCCAAACGTGGTCCAGATTTTTTGGATTCTTGGACCAAGATAAGTGTTGCCTCTCTGCTTACCATACACAAAAAAAAATCAGTATGTGGAAGTGGAACCTTATAACATCTCAAGTTTGGAAAAGACGCAGAAGTAGCATCAAGATGATCAATGCCCTTTTTGATCTTCTTCGATTTCTAGTCTTCTCTGTTGCACTTGGAGCCAATCTGCTTCGACATCGATAAAAGCTCACAAATTTTGATCATATTTTTTTAGAAAAATTGATAACTCCTTAAGGATTCAAATTGGAACCTCAAATCTAGAGATGGTCCAATTTTTTTAGCTTTTGTCAAAAGCAAGATTATTAAGCTCTCCTATATTATATATCCTAGAAATTTGCAGAAGAATAGGTAAACTTGCACTACTGAAACTAACTTGATTATAATTCTACTAGGTGTTTAACCCGCGACTTGCACGGACCGAAAAGTTTCATTAAAACCTAAAATATAATTTTATGTCATAAATCAAAAATAATTAGATCAAGAATTTGATACATACAAAACTATAATAAAGTTAATCTATAAAAGTAATCATTGTCTAACATTAAAAATTTTAAAATCAATACTAATAAGTATATGAAATCAATAAACACAAACTAAAATAAGATTAATATGAATTATTCATCTTTCTCTCTTTTTATCTTGTAATTTTTTTTCTCTATCATTTTCTTCTTTTTTTTTCTTTTTTTTTCTTCTTCACTTTCTATGTCTTTTTTTTATTTTTTATTCTGCTGATTTTTCTTTTTTTCACGTTTTCTTCTTCTTCTCCACATATTTTCTTTTTTCCTCTTATACATCTTTTGATTTTCTTCTCTTCCAGATTTTATTTCCTTTCTTCTTCTTCTTCAATGTTTTATTATTCTCTTTCTTCTTCTTTTTTCTTTTCCTTTTTCATTGTCATCGTCTTCTTCGTTATCATCGACTTTCTATTCTTCTGGTGTTTTTCGGCTTTTAACTCATCTTCATATTCTTCTACTTTCTCCAATTTCTCATCTTTAAGGTTTTCATCCAATTTTTTCTCTTCCATATCTTCTTCTTCTTCTACTTTGTCTTCTATTTTATTTTATTTTCTCCTTCAACAGATTCTTATTCCTCTTCTTCCAATTATTCTTTCTCTTTCTAAATTCTTCATCATATTTTAAAGATCTTTGTCTTATCTGTCTTTTCACTCATCTCATGGTTTATATTTTAGTCCTACCCCATGATCGTG